TATACAGTTTTTAATAGACATTCGCATGATACACATATTATATTATTCATATTATTATATACATTTTGTATTATTATATTCATATTGTTATATACATTTTGTGTTGTGTACAAAATTTGGTTTCCTGGGGAGGTATGACCCTTCCCCTATATTATGACCTCCGGTAGATACGCTACTGATGGTTACAATGTACAATACTCTCATACGCGCCTACGTGTATTTGGTGACGATGCGATGACTGCGTCCAACTCTCTTCGGTTTTCTTTCCCATTCGCCGGTGGGCATATAGTTTTTTTTTTTTATTTTATAAGCGGAGGCGGGGGCGGCGGCGATGCCATAAATATAATATTATTATATCGCATATTATTATTATAACGACGGCGACTATACGTGCGTGCGCGTGCGGTTAAACCACGTCGCGCCGTCTCGGTTATAATATTATAATATTTTGTTATATAATATACAGAGCGAAATCTATATACGAGACTCGATTTTTTTTTATACGACGATGACGACGACGGCGGCGTGCTCTGCTCGCTCGTAATAATTTCTTTCAGCCCCCCCCCCTCCCGCCGCTGTATAATATAAGAACGACAACGACGACGATTATTACACACTGTATATATAAATATATATACCCGTCACGACCACTGTACATATATATATATACCACCCCAAGACTAGTACCAATTTATATGCAAAATATCTGACGATTATTATTATTGTTGTTATTATTATTACGATCATAATTCACCGCGTCCGCCGGCGGCTGTGCCCGTGTAACGAATAATAGTAGTAATTGTATACCGTATATAATATATACATAATATTTATATACATACATATTACATATATATATATATATATATTATACCCGCACACCGCCGCCGAGTAGATAATAATATATGATATAATGTCATATACGTACTAAGTATAGTATATATTTTGCGACACACAATAATGTTCTGCGGCGTTTATTATTATAATATATTATTTAATTCACTGGCAATAATCGGCGCCGTGGGTTCGCGATAATGTCATCGTATAATACGCTAGAGCGTGTGTGTAAGGAAACTCGGAAAATTTTCAATTTCGTATTTTTTCCCGTCCTTGTGCCGGCCGATTTCATCTCTCCTCGACCGACTGTTGGAGATAGAAAAAAAAACCATCTAATTGTTTCATTCGTTTAGAAATAAAACGGTATGACACGGTGGAGGTGAACGAAACGAACCGATCGCACTCGACTAGTATAAAGTTTAGATTTTCCAGTGTACGAATATTATGTGTATAATTATTAATAATATTACTAACGGAGATCGCAAGATCGGTAAATTTGAATATCAAACTCGCAGCTAAGTAGCATTAAATTCTCTATAGGCAACATCGGAACTCTCTCCAACGTGACAGGATTCAATATATCATGCAATTTTGTTTTTTATAATATAATAATTGCAAAATAATATTTCTAAGTTTATTTGGTATGAGTATATTATAGGCATAATTTGGCAAAATCACACATTTTTTAAAATTTAAAGAGCATTTAAAATCGTTTAAAGTTATTGTAAACACATTGTGCATAGTTTTCATGTATGTAAATACTGAGCATTTTTTTTTATGACTATCACAAAAAAAAATTGTTAGAAACATTAAAAATACTATGTACTTATAAATTTTAAAATAATATTATCAATACGCAGACTCACCAGACGTTAAAATAATTACAAATATGACTTTCAAAACAATGATCGAATAAAAAAATTGAAAAGAACAAAAAAATGTGTTTATTGCAGATAGGTACAAATTCATGAAATAAAAAATATTATGATGCGATTAAGTTTTGTTTTATCGGTTACTTAAATATATTTTATATTCTGGATATTTGAGCATTTTCGGGAGCATAATATAATATAGTTGCATATGGATATCTAAGAGTTTATACTTAGTGCACGAACTCAAGCGAGTCCTGATTATATTAATATTATATTATTATGATCTGGTATTTAATATTTTGTTTGATACGATTGCATCAGGTCGGTGTCGCAATAGGATATAATATAGTTTTGCTGTCGCCCCCTCACGCGATTATGTTTTTTTACTAAATAAAGTTTCGGACGGTTGCCAAAATAGTAGATATCTTCGAAATACGCCGTAAATAATAATAATAATATTTGCAACGAATAAAGGAATAAACAACATGGTGATATTGTAACAACATGTCGTCATCGCCGTTGTCGTCGGTATAGTCTATTTACGCAGATAAACAAAGCCCGAGAGAAACGAAATAATAAATGCGTTAAAATCAACGCGTCGGCGGCGGCTCTCTGACGACGACGGCTCTCCGATCAACAATAGTAATAATAATAATATCATCATCATCGCCCAGCTGTTCTGTGCTATAATAATGACATGTAAACATTATTATTTCATAGTCATTGTGCCAATAGCGTCCGTTACACTCGCGCGAGCGTAACCCTCATCGATGACCGTTGTAATAATAATAATATGGTACAGCCGGCCAGCCATCGGTATAAACATCACTTGTCACGTCGTCGTCTTGTCAATGTAGTCTCGTCCGGTCGATCGCGTACAGCTGATCACAACAATAAATTGTTATTTGTTATTATTGTTAAAAGGAATTTTAAGTTTCTCTACGTCATACATCTTGTACAACACTATATGGTGTGCCGAGGGAAACTAAAAAAGTAACGTGCTACTAGATATTTTAAGAAAAATTGAAAAGTCATAGATATTATGTTTTGGGGCTTACAAATATCTATAGTAGCATTCCACGTTTTGTAGGAATTTCATTTATTTAATTATTTTGTATTATTGATTTACCTACGACAATAAACAGAACGTTTCGAAAATCGGTTAGAAAAAAAAAAATGTACAAATCCCAAAAACATACATATGTTAAGAAAATTATTTTATACTATTTAGGTTTGGTTAGGTTGACTATAATGGTATAAAAGGTATTATCAATAATTTACAAACTAAAATTGTTCTCTAAACAATAATAATAATTTATTATAGTGGAGTACTGGAGTGTTATTATAAATTGGTTGTTTGAATAATAATTAGTACGCTTTTTTAAAGTAATGGGAAAAGTTAATATTTAACATTAATGGGGTGAAATAATCAGAGACATAGCCACAGGGCTGAAAGGACTGCAGAAACCTCACCGAAATCTCAGGAAAATCTTAAAATGCTATAATTTTAGTGTATTCTGTGATCGTATTACGTAAGAGTGGCAAAATTCTAAAATGTAGCCACTTCATTATCATACCTAACTTATTAGGCCCCTCCTATATAACAAATTACCAGCACGTTCCCCCTCCCGAAAAAAACGAACCTTGGTTAGATCACTGCAAGGGTGACTTAAAATAAATTAATGGATATTTAGTATAATATGTAATAAAACTTCAGTTAATTTATTTTTGTATCTTATTTTCTTCAACGTTGTGTAGACACTTTTAATTATTATTCAACTATATTGTGTTTGAATTATTTGATTATTGCATGAATTATCATTCCGACGTGCCTATAGACATTATTTTATGAATTCCATCTATAGGGTTATTAATAATTTTAAAGCAATGAATTATTGATATTATAAATCATTAAAACAAATAAGAAATATTATGAAAGCCGATAGGAATAATTGCAGTTACTGCTAAACACTTGAAACGGTTATAGGTTGATAGTACGCTTATAATCCGGAAACACGTGGCATTGGTTTATTTTGAGCACCTATACAGAATTTACAAGAGCGCCCACGCGTCAAAATTCATGTAGAGAAACCATTATATTACCAGACCAAAGTCTAAACACGCCGTTTTAATGCTCAGATCTTGTAAACGTAAAAGTATTGTTTTTTATATAACGAAATCATTGCAGTTGTTTGTAGACTTAAGAAGATTACAAACATTTCTCCTTATACTTACTTAGAAACAATGAATATAATTTGAATTGATTCAAAGTTCACATCAAACACATTGAGGAAGATTATCCACTCCAAAGCCTATGGGGGGGGGGGTGGTCTGACTAACACCCCCTCGTCACACCTTATATACGCCACTGTACCTACACTATATTATATTTTATTCAAAACGTATAGGCTATATTAACACGTATTTTTTAGTAGAACTTGCTTGCTTATGATTGTATGAATGAACGATTTACTTTATGGAAACACGATTGTGTACGATTATAAGATCAAATAGCCCTACATTTGTTTGTTGAGTTGGGCCGTGGGAAGGGGCTGCAACCACCCAGATAAATTTGTGAAACATCGCAGTGTCTATTATTTAACTGAACTATCGAGATAAAATGCCACTGTGTCACTGTGATACGGTCCAGCAACTAATCCATGGAACTCAGCTGTTCTCTGTCCTTGGGGGCTATCTGTTAAAACATAATATCCTTATCTATTTTTAAATATTTTATCTCATTGTAAAACAATACATTTTATTATTATATAAAATGTCTTTTAATATGCTTCACCTCTTATATTTAAGTCTATACATACGATTCACCTTTTTTAGCAACACGGTTAATGTATTTTAGTATATTTGACGAGTTATAAAGGAGCCCTTTTAGTATAACACGGTTGTGTACTAAATGTACATACAAATTTCAAAACAGCATATCATGTTTGTTGTCACCTGAAAAAAAAGAACATTAATGTTTATTGTTTTTTAAATGCAAAAATCAATATATTTTTATTTTACCTCAATAATTAATTTCATAACACTATATTATGTAGGTAGGTAAAATATGTTATCGTCAATCAAAAATTAAATTAATAAACATTAATAAATATAGATATAGGTATATAGGAATATAGCCAAGTAGGTAATTTATGATAAATATTAATTAATTATGCATAGAACATAATATCTTGTATATTTTGACATTTCAATTTTAAGGCTGAATATGTGCTACCAAACTATTCCTGCCCCATCAATCTGAAAATTATTTTCATTTTATCGAAGCAAATCATGCTTACTTTATTTGTTCAATATTTTTACCTGTTGCAGATACATTCTACTGCAGATTCAGCGGTAAGCCACAACGGCGGAATTGGACTGGAGAACGATGTCTACGGTGGCAGATCAACAACTGATTACTTCCGTTCGAAAACAATGCCCAGGTAATAACATTAATGGTATCTGGACAATTATTGATAAAAACTAAAAAGTTCTTTGACGAAGAGTGTTATTGAAAAATTGTTTTTGATGAACTACTATGATTTATATTGTTTGATGAAATGGTTTTTACCAACAGTAATAGATCCACAATCAATGTATAAAATATATTATATGTATACGTAGGTAATAGGTATATAATGTATTTATGTATATTGTCTACGTATGTTTGTGACACCATAACCTATACTATTTTGGCCTATTTTGGAGGGAGAGCTAATGTTATCATAACAAATGTTTAGAATAATAAAACACACGTTTAAATAAATAATACAAAACAACACAGTAATAATAAAAATTGGTTTATTAGTGAAATGTTAATTAAATGTCAGAAAATAAAAATAAAACTGAACACGTAATGATTAGAAATTAGAATAATAATAACCAATTTAAATTCCGAAATCCAAACGCCTTTCTTTATTGTTACTGTCGTTTTTTATTGTAAAAAAATCAGAGGTGTGTCGAACTACAAAATATGGTATCGAACCGAACTTGAACCGAACTTTTTAATCGTAGGTGCATAAGCCGAACATTTCATTCAACATCAAACCACATCTATACCTAACATATATTATTGATTATATTTCATTATTGAACTGAACCCAAACTAACTTTTGAATTAAATGTCAAATCAAACTTTATAGTTTTATGCCAAACCAAAATAACCAACGACTATAGAGCTAAGGACCAATTTTATAAATTATAACGATTTATGAATATCGAATTACAATAATCATTAATATTAATTTTTAATATTGTTCAGTGAGTTACGAACTTTGATTATAGAAATAGTACAAAGCCAAAATAATTATGAAAGTCTATAAATAATCGATACCCGGACAGTATCGTGTGTTTAATTTTACTTTCGTGATTTTAAAATTTAAAATAACAATAATGCAATAATTAGACGTGATTTTAAAATTTAAAATAACAATAATGCAATAATTAGAATGTACATTCAACACAGAACACTCCACGTCAAAAATAAATAAAAATACACTAGTATAGAATATGGGTATATAGTATAAACTATTTATAGACAATAACAAAATACAAATTAATTATTTAATATATTTTAACAATAAACACCGGGAATATTTTTGGAGTGAACCATTTGACGTGATGGATTTTTTTCGGAGTTTGAACTATTTAGAAGTTATAAAGATTAGTTCGACTTTCGAACTCGAACCGCACAACTAAAGTTCAATTCGATTTTTCGAACATCGAAAAGTTTGACCCACCTCTAGTCAAAATCTTTTCTATCAGATCTGAAAATAAAGTCTATATAGTTTCGTTGTGTTTATCCATAAGTGTTATCATATATTACTAATTTTTCAGTAACCTAAACCTTTTCTATAACCGTAATAGATTAAGAATCAGGCAATAAAATACTTTCCTCTAAATAATTTATAAAAAAAATTGTGATTTTTGAAAAATACCTCAGAAAATACATTCAATCAGTCGATGAGACTATATTATATTTATAGTTCATCAAACCTGTTTTATGAACATTATCTTTGTATAAAGCAAAACATTTATAAAAGAGTCATGGATAATATTTGTCTTCTATTATTATAATTAGCCCTTCTTTTAAGAGGACGCTACACCAGCATGCGTTGTCTCTGTCTGACAAACGCATATCATAGCATATTATTGTACCTTCTGAATAATCTATTTGACTAAGATTCAGGTAGGTATGTTTAATATAAGACCTATTGTCAAATTTAGAAGAAAAATATTATCTAGTGAACCTCAGGTTTTTTTGGACTTAAATTTTAAAGCAAGTGATGAGTATTTTAAAACAAAATGTTATGAGTTATGAGTATGCACTAACAATTTTCAATTTTAAAATACACAGCTTGCCTTAAAATTAAAATATAAAATAAACCTATAGGGTTTACTAGATAATATTATTATTACTTCTAAATTTGATAAAATATCAATTTGCTCCAATATTAATCATAAACAAGTTAAATAGATTATTGAGAACGTAAAATTTGGCATCTAAACGTAACATAAGACGGAGACAGTGCCTGTGGGTGTATCGTCCTCTTAAATGTTGGTAAAAGTTTGACATTGTTAGTTTTAATTACATTTGTCAGTTTTTTTCACCGCTACACCCTGTATACGCATCTCGGAAATATTAATAACTGAAGAATTTTTCGCCCTCACCCTCCTTACTCTAAACGTGCAAGCGACCCACCACGACCTGCATATTGTATATATATAATAATATACAGTACCTCGTCGAATGTCAATATGCACCGCCTACCATGGTATAGAATCTAAGTAGGTTTGATACCGCAAACAAACTGATGACCGCATAGTAATATAATAAAAGCCACAGTGAACAACACGCCTATATATTACTATATGAATACAGTGAAGAGGAAAACTATTTTGTGGTCTTCGGTAAAGTTCGAGATAAAATGTAAACACTGCACTCGTGTGGTTTTGCTTTTTTTTTTGTACCTGTCACGATGATAGTACGGCTTACCGGCTATATCTGCGCCATATCATAATTATTATTAATATTATATTGGAAAAAAAACTTTTACGGCAAAATGCACCACCACGACCAAAGAGATATTAAAATGTTTGACTTTTACCGGGGTCTCTGCCACTGAAACGATTGTCCCTTTTTGAACATCGATTATGTATAAAAATATCCCCTGCAACGACTTTCAATGATGGCGGCGGGTCTGTACTGTTACCTAAATGTTTTAAAGTACCCATAATATTTATACTGAAAAATTACTTAACATTTTTTTTTTTTTAATGGTATATCGTATGGTATATAGTATGGACTAAATTTTAAAAATACTTATAGGTATTATAGGTACATAATATTGCAATAAAAAAATTAATATTTCTGTTATTCTATTCTTACTTTTCGTTGTTGTAGTATTTTAGATTTTTTAATTTCATAATAATAACAACCTGTATACCTGTATACTTATATTTATTTGTTTAATAATTAATTAGTATATTATATTATGTTTATTTGAAACATCCCTTAAATGTTTGTGTAACAAACATGTAACACTGCGTGCACAGTGGGTTAAATACATGGACATTATTCAAAAATCGTTTCGAATAATGAGGATTAAAAATAGGTTATTATTGTAGGTTATAATTATCATTAAAGTAAAAAAGCCAAAAAATTGGAAGAAATTAATTTTTTTATTACACAGATGTATTGTACTTGATATTTAAATTTTAAATTTGAAAAAACGAAAAGAATTCATTTGGAAAATTAGTGTATAGTTAATAGTTATAACTAGTTAAATGTTCCATAGGTATAATACTGTGTATTCGAATGTGAATTAAAATAGATCCATTATCATACGAAATAAAAATTGAAAAAAAAAAATGTAATATCAATAATGTTTGGTGTAAATGTATAATTAGTAATGAAGTATTATAGGTAGGTGTATAATAACGAATTTTCGTTCAATATAAATATATACATCAGTATAATAAATAGATAAAAAAATACTGAATAAATGGTTTTAAATACATACATAATATATTATATATTAAAGAGTATTTAAATAGTTCTGATGAGTGTTATAACAGTGAACAATATATTTTGCGAGTAACCCCTACCATTGTAATCCGGCAAACTAAACTTTTAACGCTTGTTAATAAAAATTATTTATACAATGACCGATATATGTATGCTGCTTAAAAAACCAATTTAATAAAAGTGTTTTGTAAAACTGAAATGTTGTAAAATAAATACTTCAAACGCTTGAAAAGAACAAAAACCGATACAAAAAATTAATGTAGCCACATGGTAAATGGATCACTGTTTTTAAAAAAGAATATTATGCTTGAGCTGCTTCAATATAATTTGAATGTGAGCGTTATAATAATTAATATAAAATAAAATATCCATAAAAAAATAAGTATATATTTAAAGTTTTTCTCCGTAGAATATGGATAGCAGTGTGTTGGTTGTAGATAAAGTACCCACATACTATATATTATAACTTTATATATTTTCACTACCTAATTTCACAATTTCACAAAACTTCAAGTACTGTTACATGTTTACAAGTATAATGTATATAGATTTTCTATTAGTAAAATGTTTGAGAGGGAGAAGTTATACCCCTCCTACCAAAAAAAAAACATATCTTCAATTTATATAACTGCCTTACTTTTTATCGTTAATATTAGTGTATCAGTGTTCACAAAGTTCACTTGAAAATTAAATTCGTTCACGTTCAAGTTCAAAGCTTAAAAAAAGAATTCATTCACGTATACGTATCACTTTTTTTCAAAGAAACTCTTTCACGTTTTTAAAAAAACCAAACTCATCTGGTAGTTAATTTTAATAATTATAATTTAAAAATTCTTCAAATAAAACGTTTAGTATGTACCAAAGGTATGCCTTACACAATTTAAAAAAAAATATGTAGGCATATTATAATAATTAAAACGTATACAATAATAACATGATATTATTGATATAATATTATACAATAATTATAAGATTATCTATTATAATAAAATTAACCATAAAATAAAATATCGTTGGGTACATACCTATATAGTATATATGTAATATGTATCCAACATTATAATATCATATTATACTCATTAGTATACCTAGTAAAATTATTGAAAATCGGTAGTGACAAAAGTTTGCGAAAGCATATTTTATGTCTAGTAAACTGGTAAGCATATATTATTAATTATTATTATTAAGGGAGAATTCAATAATAATAATATGTGATAACGTTAGATTCTAACGTTAGAATTATTTAATACCTGTTCGTCGTCACTATTTTTTAGTAAAATATTCAATACACGTATCGCAAAATGTCGGTTCTGTTCGGTGCTTAGCGTGTGGTTATAGTGAGTGACGAGTGTGTGTGTGTGTGTTTGCGAACAACTTTTGTGCTTCTCCCATTCATCGCCACCACGTGTGTCTTATACATATATACACATAATCGTAACGGTAAAAGGGCAACAACGAGTATTATGGAAAGGCTTTTAAAAACTCACTTTCCCAGTGCTTATTACAATATACATGTAAATATATATAATAACGTATAACAGGTACGCGTGGAAATATATATGGTGGCTATACAATTTATAATAATATACATCGCGAACTATTCGGCCTGCACACCATGGTCCATCCGTCTTCATCGACCGCCGTATCGACGTATTTATAATATATCGTCGGTTGACCCCACCGACAATAACACCTATATATAGATACATAGTACAATATATTATATGCGTGCAGGTATACCTATATACTCTCACACGTGCGTATTTCTGTGAGGTCTAAACAACCTTTTCCACTAAACACGTATACATAATAATATATATTTATACACAATATAGTGATATTGTATCCGCGCTATTAAAAAGAAAATCCTACCTCCCCGCCGCAGTTTCCGGTGATTTTTTTTTTTTTGTACACTGTGAAACGTCACATCAAAGAGGGAAAACGTATATGAACGGGCATAATATAACCCCCCCCCCACAACCACCAAGGACCCGCCAACCACCCTACGACCCCCCATTGTACATAATAATATATATAATATTATAATAATATGACGCATGCATCGCGCGCATTGTGCACGTGAGCTGCTACAGTTCGAGAGTCGAGGGCTCTGCAGGAGCCGATTTTCTAGAGTCCTGAGTCCGATCATACTACACTTATATATATGAGTGTACTATAATATATACTTACTTGCCTATATTATGTATACAGTGTTATATAATATGAGGTCCAAGTGCTCGTATACATATTAGATATATACATCGTGGCAGTAAACGACCTGCGCCGATGATGATTGATCGTCGTCGTCATCGGTGTCCGCCAGCGACTTACACTCGTCGACCAACGCATGATTGAATGCACATTTTATACCATGCCTATAACTTGCCCAAGCGTGTATCTATCATAATGCATGTGTATTATTCTATTTTTTTATCTGTTAGTCGATCGTGCGTGGTTAGACGTCATATTATTCTATATACCTGCATCGCACTCGTATATAACCATAGACCTATAGTTAATAGGTCTATGTATATAACATACATTGTTCGTATACCTGGACTGATATTCTAAGGATTTTCTCCGATGTCGATGCGTCTGATATATAACAATATGTACACTGCAGCAGGCGGTTAGGATATGATACTGAATGATGGGATTATGTCGTCATGAGAATGATGTAGAATTGAAAACCTACACCCCCGATCGATAAATAATAGGTATATTATGTATTATGTATTATGGATGTAGGTACCTAAAAAATAATATCCTACATTTGTACTATTATTTTCACAATTTTTTTTTATTTTGCGTTTGTGACGTGATGATATACGTTGGCAACAAATTGAGTTATAATTAATTATGAATGTTTAATTTCAATTGCACATATTCGTTATGCCGACTATCTAGTGCAGCCACAAAAAATACTGTGGTATAATTCAAATCGTCTGATTTTAATTCTACTGCGTGCTTAAGTAAACAGGCCTAGTTCATACCAATAACAGTGGGTGCATGTGTTTATATAATATATATTAGAATTGTATACAAGGCCAGGTTGCTCTTGATATAATATATTATAAATAAACCAGCTTTGCTAGTGAAAAAAAAAACCTTAAAAAGATGTAGTTATTCAAAACAGGGCTTGCATTTGAAAAAAAAATTCCATTTTATGTTATTTACAATATTAAAACGTTACACAATTTTTGCGTTTACAGTTATTTAGAATCAAAACGTTGTTAGACTTTATCGTTTATCGTTATACAGAATAAAATCGTTAGAAAAGTTTTGGATTTATCATTATTCAAAATAGTGTTAATAAATATAAAATTTAAAAATAATAACTCATGTGGGTAGGTAATGACCCGGATAGGGAATATAATATAATCAATTCTAAATTGTTTGCATGGAATAAATATTTCTACAAAACCAATAGACCTTTTAAATAAATAGATTTTAAAATATTTTGTTTTGAGTTATTTTTCGTTCAATGATATTCTATAAATTACGTTTTGCGTTATGTGTTGTTTAATAGTATATAATATATTTTGTTGGTCGTTATGTCTCGTTTTACGGTATTTATTTTTTTTTATTATCTTTCCGTTTTAATTACGTTTACAAATTCAATCCTTTTTTGTCAAATATAACGTTATAATCATAACGTCATTATAAAGTTTTCAAGCCCTGATTCAAAAGCCTTGAAGAAAACCTGGCCCATTGAAATACAAAGTGTGCCCTGCCTGCTCCTGGCAAATATGGGAAATAGAGCGATATGACATTTGGGGTTGGGAGGGGGTGTTGGAAGTTATTTGGAACAACTGTGTGAAAAAAAAATCATGAAATAATTCGAGAGTATCGTCGAAACAGTGGAAAAAAGAAATATACGATTTGTGACGTCCCCCCCCCCTCAAGAGGAAATAATCCATATCCCACACTTGGAAGGGAATTAGGTGTTGAAACAAATTTGTAAAAATGAATATTATAAAACTCGATATGTGTAATTGGAAAACCTTAATAAGCCATATAAATTACAACACACAATAATATAATGCCTTATTATTGCTTTGTAAAGTCATTGTCATAGAACATCCAGGATATCCAGGAATAGTTTAAAATAACAGTGTATTATATATATCGTACATATAAAGTTACAACTAACTATATACTTAGCCTAAACTTTAATACCCAATCGTCAATGCTCTCACCGTGTGAACTCCCGATATTATTTTTTAATTTTTAATTTAATTATATTTCGTGTTTCTTTGGGACACAGGAGGACCGGAACGACAACCGTGATGGACGACTACGACTACGGTAACGGTAATGACAGCGAAGGGACCGCCACGGCTGCCGGCGGCGGTGGTCACCGACAGTGGCCCACGTCGTCGGCGGACATCGTCGAGTACGATTCGTCCGCGGTCGCCGACACGCCGACGCCGCAGCAACAGCAACAATTTCTACTACCTCATAACCAGCCACAGCAACACCAGCACCATCTGCAGCAGCAACAGACGAATGCGTTCCCGCAGAAGCCCGGCGCCTCGGTGTCTGCGTACGACCCGAACTCAGGCGCCGGCCGACGTGCCACCCAAGCCGACCACAACTTATCGGCGGGCGGTGGACACAAGTCCACGGCCAAGTGGAAGACCCGTGCCCTGTACGTGTTTCTCGCTTGCCTGCTGGCAGTCGTCGTCGTCAACCTTACGCTCACTCTCTGGTTCATCCGGGTCACGCAGTTCACGTCGGTAATTATAGAATGTCTTATAACTATTTGCATACGTTTGGGTGTCAAGGGGGACCCTGGAGGGACCTTGTCCCCCGCTAGTTTAGTTGATGTCAATTGTTTTTGTAAAAAAAAAATAAAAATAGTATACGTGCAGACTGCAGCTGTAATATTATCAGAGACTTTTCTTGTGACCCCCTCCCCCAAGTTTATATTTCCGTGAGCGTCCTCTGTAGGTGTGCTTAAAGCTAAACATAAACTATAGTCGAAAATATGTTATATTTTTAAACTTGTTAACAGAACCAGTTTGTTAATTTCCCAATTGACTTATAACAGGTTAAGCGCCAATCCAAAAAATTGAGTTATGGATATAGCGCCACGTAGGGTTTTCAAGCCCTACGTGTAGTCTTTTTTTTGTCACCGTGCAGGGTCTCCAAAACCTTAATTTTACATGTTATCTTACGGAAATCAAATAGAGCATGGCCTGGAGGACAAACATTTTTAGATAAACCTACTGAATCGGATAAGAAACATTTTGACAAGTAGGTGTAGGAGGCGTGTGGGGTAAATTTATGCCCTAGTTGGCGCTTAACCCTTAACTTGAATAGTTGAAGCGTTGAAACAAAACCATTGTAACAACTTTCTCCTGTTAATTTGAGCGAATAAAATAAAGTTTAAATCATTATAATACCTAATATGTTTATCATACATATTATATTTAATTAAATGTTTCTATTGTTGCTTAATCGTATACACAAATGTGAAATTATTGAATGAATATTGTTTGATTTAATAATGTAATTCACACAACCATATTCTAAAACCTGCGTCAAATCATTTTAGCCATGATACTACTAAGTATATATTATGTGAGAAGGGAAATCAAATAACTAAGAAAATACTCACTATATTCAATATCTGTGGAATAGGATAGTGTTTTATTACCTAGGTCATAGGATGTGTAAAACACTGCATTTTTCTTGGTTTTAGACAGTATTTAAAAATTAATTGGTAGATACTACACTTTTTATATTGCATAATTATACGCAATACATTAGTAAAGAGGCGTGTGGTAGTTAGTGTATAATAGACGTCCTGTGAAGTTTGTCATGAACACAACTCCAGTCTCGTCTTTAAACAATTTGAACGATTTCTCGCCCAAAGGCTAATATTTTTCCATTTCGTTTGAACAGCGTTTATGATGACGGCTATACTACCACCACTGCAATCGCCGAAAATTTTATCTATAATAAATTCGAATTTACCTGATTATATACTTTTTTTTTAATTAAAAAATAAACACTCGAGGCTGTTCAGTAAAATAAAGTGGGGATAACGTTGGGGAAATGGTCGCAGCGGTGTGCTAAAGTTTTTTGATTGCCTACATTACACCTTTTCTATACAACGCCAGGGAAATCGTTTAATATTTTAATTTTTTGACAAAACGCTCGTCTTTGAGCCTAAACTACGGTTATCTACACTTACGAGTAGATAATTGTGGTCAAAGCAGCCGGCTTTATTTTAAAATTATTGTGACAGTAAATTGTTATCACATAATATGACCAAATGCACAAAGAACATTGTGTTGCACTGTCATATTACGTATTAATAGTGTAAAGGTTCTTATTTTGAAACATTTCACTTGAAATAATAAACAATATAATATGGTAATGGCTTACGGATAATTAAAAAAGCTTATTTATCACACACAGACAATATCGATAATGAATGACTTATCAACCAAAGATTACGAATTAATATGTTAATGATTATAAATTAGGTATAGAATAAAGATAAATTATATTATATTATCTGTTCATTTATCACTTATCAATTGGGTCCCTAATGGCGATTATTTATTAATTAGTATTTATTAGTATTCGATACAATAAACCCACTTTTAAAAATGTTCTCTTGCTGTAAGTAAAAGGCTGAGACACGATTGAGCATAAAAAACTCTGCAACGTTGCCATTTTAAATTTCGAGATGAACATTTATTATTGGTACACCTCCATCTTAAAAGATTATCTTCTTTTCGTTCTCAAATTAATTTATATTTATATGAATTCACAAGGGCCAATTCTTTGCTTCTTTCAGTAAAATAATTTTATTGTTATATCCATATTAAAAAAAAATATAAACTAGGGATACGCACTTACATGAAACGCACTTTATGTGACACTACTATACTACTATAGGTGATCGAACACTGATATTATTTCTATAATAATTATGTATCTTATATTTTCCACCAATGCTAAATGTTTAAAACGACGTGGAACTTTATTTTGCTCCGGAACTAATTTATTAATCGATAACATTGTCGATAAAGCTGGGGGGCTCGGTTCATGGATCGCGTCTGATATCATAATAATTGATGTAATAATACTTGAAAATAATAAATTACAAAATGTTGGCAACGTGAATGTGGCAACATCGCATAAAATATTATCTGCTCAATCGTGTTTTTTAAAATGTATATGCTCAGTCGTTTTATGCTCAACCGTGCTTTACCGAAGTATATGACAAAAATCTTTTAGGTATAATAAATATTTTTTTTTTCACATAAATAAAATGTTTCAAGAAAATTAATTTCGTGAAATTTTCAAACCCTACTTATTAAATATCTGTGACGTTATTGGTTCTACACATACGTAGATGAGTTGTATATTCAAACGACTTTGCAAAATATCGTTCCAGTTATAGAAAAAAAGAACATTCACGAAGAGCAGTGATACGTTCCTATGGAACTTACCTAGAAGTTCAAAAATATTACAGAATCGTTTTATGCCACTTGTCTATTGTAACTACATGTATGGTTATTGGTTACTGTTTAGCCATGACAAAATACGATAGGTATAGGTACTATTATATATGGTCTGAAATACCACTAAAGAAGAAGGTATGCGAAACCGCAAACTCCAAAGTTTTAAAAACGCATAACAATGGAAAATCAACTTTTAATATAAAATTATAAAACTTTCAAGAAGAATTATAAATAAACCTTTGTCGAGTCTTGTTATAAGTAATAAGTATTAAACTGTGTTTTGAAATGGCAATCAAAAGCGTTACGTAATATTGTTTTTCTGTATTTGTATATTTATTGGAATGTGCTATTGACGTCAACAACAACTTGAAAATAATTTGTCTTTGGAAATAAATGTCATATCGTTATTGGAATTAACATTTATCGAAAAAACTGGTACTTAAAGTAGTACTTGTGAGATAAAAATAAAAATAAAAACATTTAAAAATTGACATAATTGTTTACAGTTTTTCTCGACACTTCTCTGTAATATTCAGCTGTAGGCAAGGCTTGAAACCGAAAATATTTTTTCCTATATTTCGATTTCGGTTTTGAATTCCTGTTTTTATTTTTCCGATTCCAATTTTGTTTTTGATTACCGATATTTATTTTTTTCGATTTTGTTTTCGGTTTCAGTTTTTAACGGTTTCAACCGGTATTCAATATCGTGCCTGTAGGTGTTGATTTTATTAGATCTATGATTTTTTTTGATACAGCGATTGGAACATTGCCATTGTTCAATCGACTCCGGTTGGAGACACTTTACTACGTTAGTAATTGGTACATAAATACATAATATATAGGAACCTACGTATGTACTTGGGCACTTTGTGATTAGTATATCGAAGAACATTTAATATTTTTATTATATAGTTACATTTAAGTTGTTACAAGACCTAATTTTTAAAAAATGATTTTATTTGTAGTATTTTCTTTTTTAAGTTTAACTTTTTTCAATTACAATAATATACAATTTTAATTTATCATTTCAAATCAGAATATGTTTCCGAGTACAAACTTCAACGTATAAAAAATAATTTAGGACTGTTAATTTGTGAGTTATAAATATTTTAAGTTTAAGTGAGCAGAGGCCAGATGCAAAAAACTACTTCCCAAAATGTTGGACCACTCTTCTTCAAACATAAAATACTTATAACCCATTAACTATATACTCATTCGAAATTGTATTTTGTAATCAACCTAAAAATGATGTTCTGCTTCGAATTAAGAAATTAAAAATATGGGCGAATATGTCCTAAATAACAACAAAACGTTTAAAAAAATTATAGAAATAAAGAATAAAAAAAAATTTTCAACAATATTATATTAGTTGTTTAAGACTTATAAAAATTGAAATTTTTTTTTTTAAGAACAAATATTTTTGAATTAATGAATGATTCTCGAAATAATATTACTCTGTATGTTCACAAATTTGTATAGTCAATTGAATACTTCAAACGTTAATATAATTAGGTAATATTATGCGGTTGTTAAAAGAGTTAAATTTGCAGAGAATCCATTATAGGTCCTTATACACAATTGTAGAACAATCGTTATTGAAATGTACACGTCGTATAATGAAGCAGTCGTGTGTAAATCACTGTCGTCGGTAGACAGCTGAGAGATGTCGTCTGGCGACAGCTACAACATGATAATAATAATATGCTGTCCTCGGCATTCAAAGACTGTTGTCAAATGTTCAAGGTATGCAATACCGTACTATTATTATTATTAGGTATGATTAAACGCATTTCAATGACAGTTGTAGGTGGTTTACTGGTTTAATAAGTTTACACTAAACCAAATAATTATCGAAAAAAAATAATAGGGTAATAGGTATAACTATCTATTATACAGTGTTGGATAAATTACTTTTGATGAGTAATAAAGTAACGCTTAGGTACTTACTGAATACTTTCTCGCTATAGGTACTCAAATAAAACTGTAATTCAATTATTTTAATTTTCAATTTGAAAAGTAAACTCGTAACTTTCACGTAACTAAACAACATAATTTTATATTGTACATGGTTATTTATTTGAGTTTCTGTCTGGTGATTGCCAACATATTATTAAGTAGAAATAGTGTTTCGATTTTATTTGTACAATATGTCGCCAAAAATGTATACTTCGAGAACTAATATTATTATTTTTATTATTAAAAGTTAATTAACAATATGGGTACAGTAGTTGTCCAAAACATTGAAAACAGGCTTG